ACTCAATTTCAGTCGGGCTTTCGTCCCGGACATAGCACCACCACTGCACTTCTTAAAGTTACAGAGGACATTCGGGATGGCTTGGAGAATAGAAAGGTCACTGTGCTTGTTCTCGTGGACTTTTCTAATGCCTTCAACATGGTTGACCATGATATTCTCCTCGCTATGCTCGGTAATCTAAACTTCTCCTCCATTGCTTTAAATTGGTTCTCTTCCTACCTTTGTGGTCGCCAACAAGCTGTTCGAGTTGGTAATCATTTGTCTGACTGGTGTCAGCTTGTATCTGGGGTGCCACAGGGTGGAATATTATCTCCTTTATTGTTCTCTATTTTTATTAACTTCCTTTCCTCTCAACTTTGCTGCTCTTACCATTTCTACGCCGACGATTTGCAAATTTATACTCAGACTGATGTGGATCACATTAATAATGCTGTTATCAATATTAATACAGATTTATTAAATTTAAGCAATTGGGCTAGCAAATTTGGCATTCTAGTGAATCCTAACAAATGCCAAGCAATTTTGATAGGAAGTGCTCGTCAGTTATCTAAACTTGATATTTGTTCTGTCGCTCCTGTCATGTTTGATGGATCATGCATCCCTTATTCCAGCACTGTGAAAAACCTAGGCCTCTGTATGGACTCAACTCTCAATTGGTCCACTCACATTCAAACAATAAGTGCTTCAGTTACTGCTAAGTTGGGTGCCCTAAATCGCCTTAGAAACTTCCTTCCGGTCAAGGTAAAGATAACTCTGGTGCAGTCTCTTATTTTGCCCATTATTGATTATGCTGATATGTGTTGTACTGATCTTAATGAGAACCTTCTAGACAAGCTGGATCGTCTCGGAAATAACTGTGTCCGATTCATCTTCTGTCTTCGCAAGTTTGACCATGTTTCCTCCTTTAGATTTCAGCTAAATTGGCTTCCCATTCGCCAACGGAGGCAAGTCAGGACACTTCTCACACTTTTTTCTATTTTATTCGACAATCGTTGTCCCGACTATTTGAAGCGTAAGTTTCAATTTCTATCTGATACGCATAATAGACCTCTACGTTCTTCGGAGACTCTTACGCTTTCCATTCCACTTCACCGTTCCGGTTTCTCTTCTTCCTCGTTTGCTGTACGAGCTGCGCGACTTTGGAATGCACTGCCTGAAACTTTGAGACAACGCTCCAACAAAGTAACATTTAAAAAGTATGTTAAAGAACATTTTCTGAAAGTCGTAAAGAACTCCTAAGTTGGCGTCATCATCTTAGTTAATCTGTGTTAATAGCTAATTTCATCATAATATGTTTTTTACGTATATATGTATATTTGTGTGTATATATGTATTTATATGTGAATTTGTGTATATATATATATGTGTGTATGTGGTTTGTGTATATATATATATATATATATGTATGTATGGTATATGTTTTTTTTTACCTTTATGTTTATATGCTATAATTTCTAAACTCATTATATTTCTTATTCTTTACTGTTATGTATTATAATAACCGCCTTCGATGTTTTTCCACTCCTCAAGGTTGACAGGCAGAGAATGCTTTAAGCATTATGTCCGCCTTTTGTACTTATATATTTTATAAGGTTCAAAAAAGTTAAATAAATAAATAAATAATTATTTGGTTTCCATACTACGCTGTCCACATAGATCGTATCGAACGTGTTCAAAAAAATTTCTATCAATCTTGTGCTATAGATATGGTTTAAATAGAAGTCTGCCCTGGTATGAAGACAAACTTAAGAAGTTTAACATTATATCACTACAAACCTGGTGTAAATATCAGGATATGACTTACCTTTTCAAAATTATTCATTCCCTTATTGATTCCCCCACCCTCCTTTCATTTGTCAAGATTAATACTAAGCCCCATCGTCGCTATACTTTCCTAAACACTTTTGTTTTGCAAGTTTACAGAAATAATACGTCCTATTATAATCGTCTAGTAAGAATGTGTCGCCTCTACAATGACTTATTGATTAATAAGAGTAAAAATATCGACATATTTAATGGCAAAGTAAACAATTTCAAAAAATCTGTATTAGATATACTTTGTAAATAAGGCAATATTTTAATTAAAAAATTAATTTTTCTAAATTTTCGAAACTTAAGTTTATAAGTAAGATTATAAGTATTTGCGCTGTAAACTCGTTACTGTAACCTAATATCATGTTGTGTGCACATGTTTTGGAATACCATCCAGATCGTTATTTTGCATTTATTATATTCAATTGTTTATGTTTTGATGTTATTCTGTTTTGTGTACCTAAATAAATAAATAAATAAATGGAAGCCCGCAATCTTTGCCTCCCTCTCTGTGTTACGAGTACAGGCGTGAGAGTTTATGTTTAATATGGTATTGTAGATGTACGTGTTAGAGCCACGCTGCAGCTATATTGTAATAGGTCTTCACCTCTTATATTTCACTCCTATAGGTCACCTATGAAATTTTGTTTGGATAAGAATTCTAATTTCAAATTAATTTTACTTCAAAAAACGTGGAATTCTTTTTTCAAACTTAGTCATTTTTTTATTGACTAGTGCTATGTTTTCATCGCATTTGAATCTTTTCTGTCATCATTGATATGTTAAAAATTCGATTAATTATGGAATATGGGTACCGTCGTGGCACTAACGTGGCACAAGCGGCACGTAACATCAACGACGTTTACGGAGCGAATACTATAAACAAACGCACCACCTCATTCACCTCTTGCACCTCGTCATTGTTTTGCTCGCTTACGTTCTGAAAATTTCGACCCGAAAAATGAACGTCCGAAAACTTTGGTCGACAATTACGAATTAAAGGTGATCGTAGAAGCTGATGATACTTAATCTACCGCTGAATAAGCAGCAGCTTTCGACGTTAGCATCAAAACAATATTGGTCCATTTGCGTCAAACTGGTAAAGTAAAAATGCTTGACAAATGGGTGCCCCAAGAACTCCATGATTGCCATTGCGAAGTACGCGTCAAGACGTGCCTTTCCCTGTTCAACAGGAACACGAAAAATGGATTTTGTTTGACAATCGTAAGCGCTCAACAGGTTGATTGGATTCTGGTTCAGCACCTAAACAATGCCTTAAAAGAATACTTTCCCCTAGAAAAGTGATTTTCAGTGTTTTTTGTCTAGCGCAGGTGTGATTCATCACAGCTTCTTACCAAATGGGATGAGCATTACTGCAGATGTGTACTGTGAAGCACTGAACACAATGATGGAGAAACTCGCACGTCGCCATATATCGCGTCGTATAATAATAATAATAAATAAAAAGGCGTAGGGAAGTGACGACTCCATCGCCCGCTGACTAATGGTTATGTGACAAAACTGCTACGTCAGCACAGTCAGTCAGCACCTTGCCAAGAGGTGTGAATGCCGTGCCTCGGCAGAATTGAGAGTGCTAATTTGGGCCCGCTTGTGCTTTCGGCCAAATCATGAAACGGTGGCGGGCCTGGGCGTCTCCCATTAATTGACGCCCAATTTATGGATGATGGAAGGAAATAGACTGCGTTTAGGGCCGCTGCCTGGGGGTCGCCGGGGCGCGTCTGGAGCTGGCGCTGGACGCGACAGCATGCGGGCCGCCAGCCGAGTGCGAGGTGCTGCAGACCACCTAGCAGGCCCTCGCATCCATCATCCCCACCAGCTGGCTTGGCGTTGGCAGGGTCTTCGCGGGCCCAGCAATCAGCACCTGCCACTGGTGGAGTACGCCGCATGCGTTGGTCAATGCAGATGAACAGCAAGGCATTGCAGGCGTATTTTAGGGCGAAAGGGGGAGAAATTGGAGGTTATGCGTACCGGGCTAGGATGCATCACCTTTTTGCTGAGCTGGAGCCATCTATAACCGTCACCGAGCAAAACCTGGCAGACCGAGTACGGTATATCTTGCGCTCAAACATATTCGATAGCACCGAACTCGAACGGCTACGACGTGAGGCTGTACCCTCATCGGATGACAATGCTACGGCTGAGGATGCGGCGCCACAAGTTGCAGAGCAACTAGCACACGTGGATGCCGCCGTGAATCTTTCAGTTATGGTTGCTTCAGACGATGATGGAACAGTCACCCAGGAACTAGAACTAGAGCAAATGAGGAGTACATTGGAAGAGGCTATTTTGGAAACGCGCAGTATGCCTCTCGAAACTCGACCGCGACTCCCGCGCATGTCCCTAAGCAAGCGGAATCGGGCTGTCGTGAGGGCTCTCAACCCAATGCTGGTGACTTTTTTTTTATAGGATAACGGTGACAAACGAGCACACAGTCCACCTGATGGTAAGTGGTTGCTGCGGCCCATAGACATCTACATCTATCCTCGTTTGCGAATCAAAATGCAGATGCGTTGTCATCCGTGAGGACTAAGATGGAATGCCTCATTTCCAGTAAAAAGGGCCTCCGGCCACCTGCACTCACCAAGCGAAACGCAGAGGTAAACCTCTACTTCACGCTGGTATTCTGTGAGGTCGTGGTACCACCCCGGTTCGAGCCAGCCCATCCGTGCGACAGCAAAAGCTGCCGCGTGGCTCTACCACTGTTATTTTACGTCAGGGTGGCATTTGCTGGAACAAATATCAGGTTGTTCCAGCCGGATATAACGCAAAAACTAACGGAGCGCATAGACGACCTGAAGCAGAGAATCGCTACTTGGGGGAAGCGGATTCGGCGATATACCGAGAGGTCGACACGGTTCAACCAGAATCGTCTCTTCCGAAGTGATCAGAAGAGGCTCTATGAATAACTGGAGTGACCAATGGTACGTGGAACGGGCCCAGCACCGAATCAGGCCGACACTATCGCATTCTGGCGCGGCCTGTGGTCAGAGCCCGTAAATCATAGCGAGGGCCCTTGGACGGAAGTTGTGGCGAGACAGTGCGCGAATGTTACGCCCATGGACCCCGTCATCATAACGCCGGACGACGTAGCTGAGGCAGTCCGTAGGGCCCCGAATTAGAATAGTCCGGGACTCGACGGACTGCATCACTACTGGCTGAAGGGGTTCATGGTATGTCACGCTTTGCTTGCCCGACAGTTTCAAGAGGCTCTCGACCAAAAGTCGCTCCCGAGCCTCTTCACTACTAGGATCACTCATTTGGTTCCTAAAGACCGGGATTCCACAGACCCGAGCAAATACCGCACCATAACGTGTCTACCTACTATATACAAGACACTAACATCAATTTTGAACGCGAGAATCATTCGTCACCTGAACTCAAACCAGGTGATGTCGCGCGCTCAAAATGGATGTCGGGGCGGTGGTCGTGGAACCAAGGAACCACTCCTCATTGACGCGGTCATTGGCAAGGTGGTTAAATGCAACCGTCGGAACCTCTCCGCCGCCTGGATAGACTACAAAAAGGCATTCGACTCGGTGCCTCATACATGGCTTAAGAGGGTCCTCGAGCTGTACAAGGTTGATTGTACAGTTTGAGACTTCCTCGGGCAGTGTATGGGGCAGTGGAGTACGATCCTTTGTCATCTAGGCGAGCGGATGACGGCTGCGGAGAACCACATAAGGATAAGAAGGGGTATCTTCCAGGGCGATTGTTTGAGTCCAATCTGGTTCTGCCTCTCTTTGAACCCTCTCAGTATCTTACTGGAGGGCTCTGGGAGGGGATTTCAGCTTCGGAGAGGAGGTACAAAAGCGAACCACCTTTTCTATATGGATGATCTCAAATTATTCGCCTCCAGTCGCTCTCATCTTATGGAATTACTAAACATCACTTGTGATTTTAGCAATTCTATTAGAATGGAGCTGGGGACGGATAAGTGTGCGATCCTTCATGTCGAAAGGGGAAGGGTTGCTAACTCTGAGGGCATAGACTTATTTATGCCTATCAGCATAAGGACCCTTTCCGAGGCTGAAACATACCGATACCTGGGTATGTCACAGAACATCGGTGTAGATGAGGCGGGTATGAAAGGGTCAGTTTGCGATGTGTTTTATGCACGCTTGAAAAGTCCGCACTATAATGACGTCCCACAGAATGCATCATCCGAGATTGTCAGTAATGAGGCTGTACTTGCCGCGGAAACATGGTGGGCGCGGCTTTTAAAGCGCGCTTATTATGCATAATCGCGAAGTGTGCAGCCTCCGTAATTAATTTCTGACGAGAGCGGATGATCCATACTATAGGGACGTTATTTCTTGTGATAAAAGGCTAACCCCTCTACCCTTAGCCAACGAGCAATGGCAAGACGCGGCAGTACAGAGCATTTCCCACCGGGAGACCGTATGGAAGGAGAAGGAGCTCCACGGGAGGTTCTACAAGGCCCTTCATGAGCCTTTCGTAGACACAGTCGCCTCCCTCCACTGGCTACGTTTCAGTGACCTCTTTGGGGAAACTGAGGGTTTTGTCTGTGCAATACTGGATCAGGTTATTAAGACCAACAAATATCGGAGATGCATCCTAAAGGATGGCACAGTTGACATCTGTCGAGCTTGTCGCCATCCCGGTGAGTCACTTGGGCATGTCATCTCCGGTTGTTCGGCGCTTTCTAACTCTGAGTATTTGCACAGACACAACCTGGTAGCCAGGATTCTACACCAGGAGCTCGCTCTGAAATACGGTCTCGTGGATCGGAAACTGCCATATTATAAGTACTTACCGGAAGCCGTGCTCGAAAATGAACGCGCCAGGCTCTACTGAGACCGGGCCATCATCACAGACAGAACTATTCTTGCGAATAAGCCTGATATTGTGCTGATGGACCGGGCACAGTCAAGGATATTTTTGTTTGACATTACCATTCCTTATGACGAGAACCTCGTGAAAGCCGAAACAGATAAGCTGACAAAATATCTGGACCTGGCTCACGAGGTGACCGACATGTGGGTGGTCTGCCGGCCGAAATTATTCCTGTGGTCGTTTCTGCGAACGGGTTAATCCCAGTTAGCCTCTCGGGTCATCTGAGGCGACTGGGACTCCGTGACGGACCGCTCCAAGCTCAAATGCAGAAGGCGGTGCTTCTCGATACTTCCCGCATCGTCCGCCGGTTTCTTTCCCTTTCCCCCTAACCCTCGGCCGTTTGATCTCCCCTGCCGAGGGCTTCCGTCTGGTTGGGTTTTTATATATTTTTGTATATTTTATGTATTTATTCTATTTTATTGATATTTATGTATGTTTATATATTTCGTTTACAATTATATATTTAAACAGCCCAACCAGATGAGAAAACTTTATAGATAACCCCCATAATAATAATAATAAATCTTTATTTCGGATAACAAATGAGATCCATATCACAGATATTAGAAAAATCACAAAATAATAATAATAGTATAGCTAGGTGGACGGAGAAAGTAAAATGACACGCACGCACGCACGCATTCACGCATACACATACGCACGCAAGCACACACACACACACACACACACACACACATTCGCATGCAAACACACACACACACACACACACACATACATCACATACACACATACACACACAGGTAAGTCAGCCATGCAGGACGTTAATAATTTGCCTTATTATAGGACAGTCATGTTTTTGTGCTATAACACCCAGGATACTGTTGGAGTCCTTGTTCTGCTTAGTAGCGATGCGGCTTTTTTGCGCATTATCGCGTCAAACCTGTCAGTGCGGGCCTTACAGAACATGCCTGACGCGCTGCAGTAGCGGGGCAGCCCCAAAAGAACTCTAAATGAATTGTTATATTGCACCTTTAATGCTTTATACGCCCTTTGTGTGTAGTTGACCCAAAGGGAGCACGAATAGAAAGACTGGCAGTATTCCTTAAAAAGAGTTATTTTAACGGCATTACTGCATCGTGCAAACCTACGGGCTAACTTATTACTCCGGGTCGCTAAAGCCATACGCTCCCTCCCCATGTCCATTTCATCACGCAAATCCTCGATCACGTATTGTCCCAAGTATCTGAATTGTGACACCCTCGATAAAGCAGTGTTGTAGAGTCTGATAGGTGGTATGTACGTGGGACTCTTGTTATTAGCTTTAAACAACACAAACTCACTTTTCTTTATATTATAAATTAGACCGTGTTCATTTGCATAAGCCTCACAGATTCCCAGAAGCTTTCTGAGCGCACTGACCGAGGGACTCAACGACACCATGTCGTCGGCGTAACTTAGGTTGTTGACCGACTTTCCATCCACATGGCAACCGACCTTAGTGCTGCTGAGTCTCTCGAGCAGCTCATTTATATACAAGTTAAAAAGTTGAGGTGAACTTATTCCACCTTGTCTCACGCCACATTTCAACTCGTACGGTTCAGAAAGCTTATCTGCCCATTTTATATGATTTGTTTGATGATTGTACCAATAGCGGAAGATACCCAGAAGATCATTAGAAAAATTACATTCGGCAAGTTTTTTCCAAAAAATATGATACGACACCAGGTCAAAGGCCTTCGACAGGTCTAAGAAGCATCCATAAACCGGGGTTTTGCGATCTGTATAATATCTGACTGTATGTTTTAAACCTAATATTGCACTTTCTGTTGACAGCCCTGCCCTAAAACCAAACTGTGTTTCATGAATCTGAAGAACTTTTTCTAACTCATTGCTTAGTAGCCTGTCGAGCACCTTTGCTGTCACTGTTGCTAAGGAGATAGGCCTGTAATTGCTTTTATCTGAAATGTCTCCAGTCTTATTCTTCACTATTGGTACAACTATCGTTTGACTTATGCACAGTGAATAAAACATGGAGAGGACGCGAGGAAGGTGACAACCAGCATACTGCAGATGTTCTATGCTGAGACGGTCTCCAAGTTACAGGAAAACTCTCCATCATCCGCCGAACTCACCAGGCCTTTCGCCTATAGACTTCTACTTTTGCCAGAATTTGGATAACTTTTTGCCGAGAAAAAAATTCCATACTCGAGAGCGCAGTACAAATTGAAGAATCAGATGCCTTACGTCCAGATGAGCAAGCCACTTCGTTAGCATAGATGCATCGATTGCATGGTAATTACCCACCCCCCTTTGATGAATAGAAATACAAAAAAATATATAACAAAATCATGATAACTTATTTAATAAAAAACTGCAATTTCATAGGTGAAGTCCTATTAGTTGCAGCACGAATGGGTCCGTTCGACCGGGGTAGGACTCTCCACGCTCTCACAGAATACTAGCGTAAAACAGCCGCTTTATGCTGCTATGTTTCGTTTGGTGAGTGTAGAGAACAGGATACTCCTTTTGCTGGAAACGAGGCATTCCATCTTGATCCTCAGATGTGGCAACGCATCTGCATTTTCATTCTTGATCGAGGGTAAATGTCTATGAACCACGCTTACCATCAGGTAGACCGTGTGCTCGTTTGTGACCCTTATTCCATATAAATAATGTTTATGTCTAGAAAGGGAGTAGTAATTATTTAAACAAAAGGAAACAGTCATTGGAAACAATCATTTATTTATATTTTAATATAAAACAATTTTTCAACATAAACAACATCTCCATTCAATGAACTTCGTCACAAACACATTTCATATGTATATTAGGAATAATAGACAAAACTACTTAACATAATATATCACTTTTACATATTTAAGTATTAAGTACTTTTTAGTATTTTGTTTATATTATTGAAGAGGAGAGACGTGTGATATTAAGCAAACTAAATACGCGACTAAAACTGACGAGCATAAATCTTGATTCATTTTTTGGATCAATTTTATGAAAAATCTTGTATAGACGTGGCTAAGGAGATGAGGACAACAACAGGGATATCAATATAAAATCTAGGTTTGTTTGAATGTAATAAAATTGCCGTGCTTTGTCGTTAGATGCGAGGTAGAGGCACAAGAAAATTTGAAGCTTTCTATTCTGTGGACAGTGATAAAGTCATAGTCAACAAATGCAAGCACAATAAAATTATTGTAATCTGTTACAAATTTAATATGCACTGTATTATATAACTATGCAGGGAACAGTGTTTAAAGTGAACGACGTTTAGTACTACGTTCATCTGTTAATGATTATGGTTAGAACTAACGGCAGAGTAAGACATATCTGTTTTTAACTAAGCAACAACATTATTGCCAATTACAAAACAAAGACAGAAGGCAGAATAGAGGCGTTTCCGCACTGCATAGCTTATCGCAACCGTGGACAACAAAGAGATTTAAATATATAGGTAACTTAAATGTCTTTGGTGGACACTAATCAGTTATTTAACGGTGTAAGAAGCATAATGCAAAGTTATTTTAAATTAATATTTCTTTTAGGAGCTGTGCGCCTGATGGTTGAAAATAATGCTAATGATGGATTATTAGACAACTAAACACTATTTATTAACACTTTTGTGACTATTACATTATACATATTATATATTTTTATATTTGTACTAAACCGGTATATATTTTAATGTAAGAAAATTAAAAACAATACCAAAGAATATCAGTAAGGTATTGTTTTATTTTTATTAAAAACTGAAACCAATAAAGAAAGT